GCTGCCGCTGCTCCCGCTGCTGCTGCTGCTGCTGCGGGCGGGCGCCGGCGCGGGCGGCCCGCAGCGCTTCGAGGTGCCGGGGGCCGCCATCGACAACATCGAGGTGAGCGGCGGCGCCGTGCTCGTGGCGAGCGGCCGCTGCGTGTACGAGCTGCGGCCCTCGCTGCGCGCGCCGCGGCTCGTGGTGCGGGCGCGCGGCGGCCCCGACGAGCCGTCCGTGCGCAACAAGCTGCTGCTGCCCTACGAGGAGGCGGCGGGCGGCGGGGTGCTGCTGGCCGGCTGGACCCTGGCCGGCGGCACCTGCGAGGTGCTCGAGGGCCCCGGCTACCTGCAGCGCCTCAGCCACAGCGAGGTGGTGAGCTGCCTGCCCCGCGGCTCCACGGCCGGCGTGGTCTTCGAGCTGGCCGGCACCTGGTACCTGGCCGTGGCGGCCACCTACTCAGTGCGCGGGCAGCGCGTGGGCTGCGAGCCGTCCGAGTCGGACGCCGACACCGCCATCACGGTGCGCCGCGTGGACAAGCTGACGTCTGACGAGGAGCTGGCCATCGTCAAGTACAAGGAGCACCCGCTGCACTTCGTGGACGCGCTGCGCTGGCACAGCCGCCTCTTCTTCCCCTACTACCGGCTCAAGGGCGAGGGCGGCGAGGGCGGCGAGGACGGGGAGGCGCCGAGYATGGCCGTGCTGCGCCAGCTGCGGCCCTCGGAAAGCGCCTTCACTTTGCAAGGCCACGTGTACCTGGACTGCGGCTGCAGGAGCCTCATCCTCTCCTCCAGCCTCGTCCGCCTGGGAGCCACAGGCTGGTGGGTGGGTGTTTTCCGCCACAGCCGGAGCGCCAGGGCCTGGAACAGCACCGCTGTCTGCATCTTCGGGATGGAGGAGATGAGCGAGCAAGCCTGCGCGTCCACGCACTTTCACGCGGATGGGAACGCTTGTGTAAGTCGTGGCGACGCTTTTGTTACCCCTTCAAGCCCCTGTTGTTGCGGAATGTTGTTCAGGGTGCCCTGGGCGGATGGACCTGGCRTCTCGTGAAGTTCAGGGGAACTTCGGAGCTGGGCCAGGCTCAMGCGCCAGCCCTGGCTCCGCCAGCCCTAGAGCGCTTTGTGCTGCTCGATTGTGTCTCYGCTACCAGTGGGTCCCCCTGGGCTGCCTGGCGGGTAGTGCCCATCCCAGACCCGCTTTGGGAAAGGCAGGGCGCAGCGGAGCAGCCCCGGAGGGCATCCTGGCACAGCCGAGTCTCAGCATGCACCCTTCGCTGCCAAGGATTAGTCAGACTCCACTCTGTTTTCTACAGAGCCTAGGGAAAGCATTTCCTACCTTGTTCTGTGCGTTCACATCTCGTGTCACTGCAGCTGCATCAGAAGTGAGGGAGAGGAGCCCATGGAAGGGACGCCTGTGCACTGGGCTGTGTGCACTGCCATGCCCATTGCTCTCTAGCTAGGATTGCTTGTGTGGCGGTGGGTGTTTTCCGACCCTGCCAGGATTGTCCCTGCTCAAAAGGGCTCACGAAATCCACCCAGACCTGTAGACACAGCAGACAGCCATAGTGTGTCTGCGGTGGTTATGTTTTTACAGCAGCGGTCTCCCGTGGAGATCCCCTGGTCACCTACTTCTGCAACACTGCCTCGAGCTCCACCGTGCTTCCCGAGTCTGTTCCCAGGGAGGGCACGGTGGGCAAGGCTGCCCGGTTTGCTATGGCTTTATCAGCTAGTAAAGAAATCAGTTGAAAATGTAATTCAAGGCAAGCAGCAGCTTTTGCAAGGCCTTTCCGTGCTTTTGAACGTCACACCCCCCCAGAAGTCTTTTCAGTGCTGTAGCAAAGGGGACAATGCAGAAATGCTATAGTTCCCAGGGAGGACTATAGGGGATCAAGCCTTCCTAAAGAAAGCCCTGACCTTTTGCAGCTCTCCCTCCATCCACAGGCTCTGCAGCTTAACCCCTCAATCCTTCATCTGTTGTGGCAGGAATTTGTTGTAAACTCCTTGAAAGAAGCCTAGGAGATTTACTGTCGCTCCTTGACTTCCACGATCCAGCCCATAGTGCGCACTGCTTGATATTCTTCCAAACAAAAGCTACCAGAGGGCACATATGATTCAAGCTGCTCATTTCTCTACTGAATTGCAGAACCATTGCTGGTGTTAAAGGACCATACTTGTGAATGACAACGCCGTATGTGAGTGAAACAACTGTGCTGGAGTCAATACCAAAACACTTACTCATTTCAACAGAGCTCAAACCAACCCTTAGATTTTCAGTGCCAGTTTGTAGCTTACTGCATGATTTCTATGTTGTCACATGGCAAACTTACTGAATGAAGTTCAACTCTCATCCCAAAAGATACATTTCTTCAACATATTCTTTGTTTTTCATTACTCATGGGGTTTCTTCCCTGGAAAACAAAGATGCTTTCTGAGCCTGCAAAAGCAAAACCAGAAACATCTCTGTGCAACAGATCTCTGTATGTAATGTAATCAATACATTTCAAGCCTGAAGTTAGAAGATCCAGATAAGTCTTTTGGATTTTAGAGGGTACAGTAATGGTAGACATTTCTGTTCTGCTCTGTGTTCTTCTGAATCCCCTATCTCCCTTGCATTCAGGTGTCTGAATATGGGAAGCTAATCTTCCTCTTATTTTTAAGACTAGGTCTGATTTAACTCTAACTCCTCTTACCTCAAAGTTACTTTGATGTGCCAAAAAGCTTGTTCCTTCTTGAAACACAGGCTGAATTTGGCCATAAAACTGAAGAGTTCCAATATTAAAGATGTTTAAAATGACTGCTTAATATTATGTCCCTAAGTGTAAGGATGTAACTAATTATGATACTCTGGCATAGTGATAAATACAGTTCATTACTGACAATAAAATAGCATTTAGTATTTTTTCAGATAGCAAACATCACAGAGTTGAGCAGTAATATGACCTGTAGCATTACATGATTAATGTTGCTTCCTTCTTAAGCTAATTATACGTGCTTGTAGTATATCAACACAGAAACAAATGCAAGTTTTTCAGCTTTAATTTGGTTTTTTTTTTTTCAGTACAGAAGGTTAGACTAGGCTAACGCAGAATAAGTTTAGAGATGCCATGCCCATATGCTGCTGTTTCTGAGTTGATTTAATGTGTATCCTTTTACTGTCTCACACCAAATCCTTGCAAAATTTGAGTGTGTCTTTTGAATTAGAAGTGTCTTGGGTTCAGAACTAGCAAGAAAATAGCATGCTGGTCAGTGTGGAGCAAATAAGAAAGGTGTATATAAAAAGTTAGCAGCAGCTCTGGGCAGAAGGGAGTGCCACGAGGCCAAGGAGCATCAACAGCAGATGGAGAAGATACATAAATGAGCAGCAAGCACAGGGCTTCAGTGTGCTTAGCAGCCCTGTCCTGGTGTGAGCACCTTGTGCCTGGAGTTCGTGCTTGGTCCAGGGTTTCTGACCGTGTCGAGCATAACCCTGGGCTTTGCCCTGAACATGCCYTTGGTTAGACGGTGCTGTGGGTCTTGGTCGTCTTTGCCTGATGCACTTGAATCCCAGAGCTGAGRCATGATGTGGTCTCGCTTGTGTATATCGACACATCCTGTCAGTTTGTGTAGGGGCTGAAAATGCAGCTCTTTTCCACCAGAGGAGTGCGATTTATAGTGAGACGGCATGTTAGGGATTATTGCCACATCTGTCATCCTTCTAATTTTGCCATCCTTCAGACTTTCTGTCAGCATTCTCATTATCTTGAGGCAAGACACCTTCTCAGTTGCCTGYGCGTGTGCTGGCGTTGCCTGCGCTGCAAGGGCTGCGCGCCCTGAGCTSCTCGTGCTGCCCCGTTCCCTGACACGCCACTGCTGAGGGTCTGACCCTAAGCTCAGTCCAGTTCTGAACTTTTTGGCCCGAATCCAGCAAAGCAGAAAAGTGCTTCTTTAACGTCAGGAGTATAAGAAGCTCCGTCATGTTCAAGGGAACTGTCCGTGCAGCTAGGGCTAAGTATGAGCTTGAGTCCTCGGTTTGGATTAGAGCCATCTGCTTAGCATCCTCTAGGGAGCTCATTTTAGGTGTGTGATCTCTCCGATGTTGCGTTGTTGCTTGGCTAAAATTTGACATTTGCATTAAGTTTGACATCTTTGTTTACCGACTTTTTCAAAAACTTTGTGACTCTGCCACAAATAGTGTGGAATTGCTGCTTATAAGAACTTCTCTTCATGCAGTAGTGTGTGCAAAGCATTTTGTCCAAGTTGTCTGTGTTTATTTTCAATGCATAAATTAYTGGATTTCCAAAGAAATGATCCATAATTATTTGCCCAAGCAAGGGGCAAGAAAAGTCTCAAGCAAAACTCTAAATACTTTATATTTTGTTCTACTTATTTTTTCTCTGCTCCACACTTGATTTTGTGTATAGGCAGTTATGCACACTGTTGGGGTATATATATTAAAAGCCTTGCTAGCATAAACTACATGTACATCAGTATATCTTCACAGTTTCCATAGCTGTTAAATGTGATTTTGCCAAATCTCATCCTCAGTTTCTTCTCAGAAACTGATGGAGCAATAACAAATGTTTTTGATGGATTGCAATGATGAAATGGAAGCTGTGTAGCTAAAACATATGAGGAGTATTGGAATTTGTGACAAGCTTATTGCAGTACCCAGTGGAGTTACCGCAAGCCTTTCCTTTCATTGCTCTGAGAATGAAGGGAATCTCAGCTGTATCCCAGTGATAAGGATCTTACAGGCCATAGATAAGCYGGATGAGTTGGAAAAGAGTGCTAAAATTAGAGCACAACAACAGGAGAGAGTTGTAGGACACCACCTAACCACAGTGACAAATCTGGAAATTAAGCTCATATTTGGAGAAAATGAAATGGGGAGAAAATGACTCTACACTTTTACAGGGAGAAGAAAGGTATATTTAAAAAAAAATAGACTTGTAGCTGAAAGACAGAAGGAAGTTGTTGCATTTTATATTAAGATGTTTATTTTATGATGTACTGAAGGCTAAGTGGCTGGCCAGCTCCCAAATGATAAGATATCTTGGTTGGATTTCCATCTGCYGTTTAATGCAAGTAAAAATATACAACAGCCTGCTCTTTGATTTTTTGCCTTTTTCATTGAGAAATGAATATGTGAGTTGGTATATGCTCCTTAATTTATAAAGCATAACATGAAATATTGGAACAAATCTTAAGTTTCCCTTCTCTACAGAAATTGGGTGTTAAGTCAACAGAGCTACATCATTTTAATCATGGCCAAATTTGTAGGAATGACATCTGAATTTTTGTGGTAATTCATTTCAAAGGGAGTCAAGATCTTTTATTTAAGTAAAGATTTACTAAATATTATTTGACATCAAGATTGGACATGTAATTAATTTTCGAGTAGTAAASTCATCTCCTGTGTATTACCAGAGAGCTCCTATTTCATTTGCTGTTTGACAGCTGTGCAGATTTCTAGAGTTAACGTTGTCGTATTGCTGAGTGCATTTTTCTATATGGTTAMAGTGAATTCTCAGTTTGTCTGTATTTGGTATGGGCAGCAAGCCACAGGAGTCTCATAAGCTCCCAAATTATCAGTTGCTTTTAGACATCTGGTTTTACCAGGTGTTTTTAACAGAAACTTTTGAGGGCTTTGGAGATCTCTCAAACAGAGAATTCATTTGCTTGTGACCATGAGGCTGGAAGGAACCTCAGGAAGTTACTAGTCCAAACTCAAAGCAGGATCATCTGCAAGGGCAGACAAGGTGGTTCAGGGCTTAATCTGGTTGAGTCTCGAAACCTTCAAGGATGGGGACTGCCCAGCCTTGCTGGGCTCCCGCTTTGCTCCTTAGTTGTCCTTATAGAGGGTTTATTTAATTAAATCTCCTGCCGCTGAGYAGTTGGAACCTCCCGAGTCTCAGCTTGTGGCTGTTATCTCTAGTCATCCTGCATGCAGCTCAGCAAAGAGCCTGCTGCTTTGCT